CCCTACTAAAATCACCTAGAAATTACAATAAAGGGATACAAAAGTGAAGAAACCCAAGGCAGCAGTGACAATGAAGATGGTACCATCAACAGAAAGAATTCATTTCTGAACGATAGGAAATACATCAAATTGTACTAAGTTAGGACAAACTGGAAGAAGGAAAGCACAGCCCAGAACATGAATGAGAGAAGGCTGCAGGGGATACAGACTGGGCCTTCCCAGGGGAGCCCCACAAAGGCTCCCAGCTTGGAAGAGGCATTGGGGGTGATTTACTGGGGAACTGACTGCACAACAGTCTGACTGACCAACCCCCCAAACACACACACGCACGCGCGCACACACACACACACACACACACACATATCAGGTGAGCATGAGCTCAGATGCTTACATGCTAAGAAACGTTCCCTAAACTGCGCAGAGATACAGTGTCTGGGTTGGGGGAAACTGAACAGAACGCCCCAAAACAGACCCAGAACAAAAAGGAGAAAAGGCAGCTCCAGCATCTGAAAGAACATCAGCCCCTTCCAGGACACACACTCATCCAGACGCTTACTCAGCCCTCCAGGTTGGGGAAGTGGCCTTTTAGGTGAACAGCCCTGAAAGAAACCCTTCCCAGGAACTTATACAAGTCGGTTTAGGCCTTTATTCACAAAAATGGCAAAGGATCACTTAGTATTCTCTCCCATGAGAATTAGCAAAATTCTCAAAACAGCCTAAGCCCTGAGATAATTCATAAAGAATTAACAAAATAAGGGCTGGCCCGGTGGCGCAGCCGTTAAGTTTGCACGTTCCGCTTCTCGGCGGCCTGGGGTTCACCAGTTCAGATCCCGGGTGCGGACATGGCACCTCTTGGCAAGCCATGCTGTGGCAGGCGTCCCACATATGACGTGGAGGAAGATGGGCACTGATGTTAGCTCAGGGCCAGTCTTCCTCAAAAAAAAAAAACTCAAAGCAGTCTAATTTGTTTTCTTATAAGAAGCCACTGCATCCGTAAAGAATAGGCTGCTATGGAAACAGGAGTAATCAGAGAATAAGAGATTGCTTTGGAGATTAAAAATAAGAAAAAAGATGGCCAAAATAAAAAATTTCCATAGAGGGCTAAGTACTAGAAAGGTTATGACTGAAAACCAAATTGTTTGTGTGGTGGATTGTAGAACCAGTTACAGCACAAGTCTAATCCACTAACATCACTGCACACGTAAAGTGGGTGAATATCATAGTGGGGAGATTACACCTCAACAAAGCTGCTATAAAAAACAGCCCAGGGGCTGGTGCAGTGGTTAAGTTCACATGCTCCACTTTGGCGGGCCCTGAGTTTGCAGGTTTGGATCACGGGCCAGACCTACACACTATTCAAGCCATGCTGTGGGAGTGTCCCACATACAAAATAGAGGAAGATTGGCACAGATGTTAGCTCAGTGACAATCTTCCTCAAGCAAAAAAGGAAAATTGGCAACAGATGTCAGCTCAGGGCCAATCTTCCTTACAGGCACACAAAAAAGAACGAAAAAAGAAAGCCCAGCTCCCACAGGCTGTAGGAGGGATCATTCTGTTTTTTTTTTTTTTTTGAGGAAGATTAGCCCTGAGCTAACTGCTGCCAATCCTCCTCTTTTTGCTGAGGAAGACTGGCCCTGAGCTAACATCTATGCCCATCTTCCTCTATTTTATATGTGGGACACCTACCACAGCATGACTTTTGCCAAGTGGTGCCATGTCCACACCCGGGATTCGAACTGGCGAACCCCAGGCCTCCGAGAAGCGGAATGTGCAAACTTAAACCACTGCACCACCAGGCCAGCCCCTAGATCATTCTGAGGCATGTTTTCTGCACTGTTCTCCAGAGATGCCCCAGGGGACTGCACTCCAGTTCCCAGGTGGCAGTTGGCTTACCACGTACTCCTGATTGGCTGCCTTCCTTCATAACATCTCTTCCCCACGGAACCACGTAGCCAAAAAACTACTTGCACTAGAATCCCCCTCTTAAATGTCTGTTTCTGGAAGAACCCAAACCAAGGGCAGGATATTTTTTCATTCTGTACTCTTCTGATAGTTATCTTTAAAGAGGTGGTTGAAGTTGGTGCCAGGATCAGGGTTACTGATGACATTTCAATAGAATGGTTAGAGAAGTCAACGTGGGGAAGGGTTTGGGTGATAAGCAGGAAGAGAATGTTAGTTGAAGACAGGCTAAGAAAGGGCACATCCCAGGATGGTAGGTTTCCAGGGCAATGAACGAGCCCTTGCTAACACTTAGGATCAAGTTCTCCATGTGGCTTATTGCTTGAGTAGGATGAAAGAGCATTCCCCAGATGTGCGGCAGCTGCCGGGAAGCTGAGAGCATCTTTGTTCAACCACCAGGCCCCTGACTTAGAAATAAGCCCTTGGATTACAATCAAACAAAAATGCTAGTTTCACTGCTTCAATACAATCAATACACCCCCTTTCACAAGAAACAACAGACAGGAAGAGAACTAGTGTCAAAGCTCAAACGCCACCAGGGTTGCTTGCGTGAAAATCCCTAAACACAGAAAGTTAGAGAAGCAGGACGTATACCTAAATAGGACTCTATCTTTCAACTTCAGGGTTTTAAAATTCTACGTACACACATACACACTGCTGCTGCATTTCAATTATTCCAAGATATAAGAATTCACGTTTTAATTTCTCTACAATTGAGGCACACCACGCAATTGGTATAAGTCACACTGAATTGACAGTGTCTTTTTGGTGGTATACAGAAAGTATTGCGTCTGAAAATTAATAAATATGGCAATTCATATGCAATGTGACAAGATTTTTTTGGCTCCTTAATGACAAAAGTGCCTCATTCTTGGCCCCTACAAGATATGACAGAGCAAAAAAACTTTTCTTTCAAGTGTATTTGAGACCTGAATGAATCAGGATACTTATTTTTCAGATTTGTTAACTCTAATAAGGTAAAGTTCAGCCTAAAAATTATTTGGCAGATGTCCCTGGCATTTAAAAAATAAAACCAATATAGAATGAATATTAAGGAAAAACTGAATTTACCCATTAATCTCAACAGCCCAGCACATGAAGAATTTGTTTTCCTGTTCTAAAAAATTTTTACTTCATATGAAGGCACATCACAGAGAAGTTAACTTTTGACCCAAGTAAAGGCTTCATTCACTTCAGCTTTCCTGGAAGTGAAAATGTCATCCTTTGTCTTAATAAATGCATTCTCTCTTTCTGCACTGAGAGGACCAAGGTGGCCCAGAACATCAAATATTCCAGACCATTATCAATCAAGGGTAGAAAAGCAGATGGCCACACTTCGGGTGCCTTTACTTGTGGATGGATTCAACTTCTAAGTGTGACTCCAAGTATCGCCTCAATTTTGCGTCCTTCTTTTCCATTCTCCCTCAATCAACTCAAGAAAGGAAACCGGGGTCAGGGGTGGAAACGAGCCACTGTGGTCTCCTTCATCCTTTTCCTCTCAAGGCCCAACTGGGTTGATGAAAAGTCCAAACCCTGCCAATGCTCATTCAGCCTTTGTGACTTTCAAACTCAAAATCAACATGACTGGGGAGTAGCCACAAAAAAGGTCCAAATGCCAGTTTCCGATGAAGCCTCAATTGTTGAGCAGTTCACAAAGAATGAATTAGGCTGTGACGCTTACGCCCATGAGATGGAAGCTCAGGGGAGAATCCATCCTGTGGGCACCAAGAGAGGGCTTCATGGGTTTAAGAATCAGTCAGTGCCATAACTGAGCCAAAGCATGTGTAAAGCTCTAAAACCTAGCATCTCTTTGCTGAAAAGCCCACGAGGTTGATGACCAGTGTTGTGGGCTCAGGTAACCACTACATGAGAGCTTCTGCCAAACACAGGGCTGGAGATCGCGCCACACACCAAATGTAAGCACCAAGGACTTATGTTCAAACAACAGCACACGTCAACTGGAGGCCCATGAAAGGCCCCGAGTGGCCCTCCAAACGTGTTTCAAAACCTGCTACATCTCTTCTTTGTCTGCAGACTTGAAATCTCAGTGAATGAGAATCCCTAGAAGAAAAAATTACAGAAATTCCCCTCAGAGGAGAAACCTATTACTTGAGAATGCATGGTCAAGTTATATGGACAGACAGAAATTGTGAACCAATTACCTGTGAACATTCTTAGAGCTTCGTTATTCTTCTCTCTAAACCTCACATGGCAATGTGGCCCTCAGAGAGATCTGCTAGCAACCACTGGAGTAGGTCAGAGGCAGGCACATGAAACCTTTAGAAGGATCAAGCTCACAACAGTCTTCAAATGCACATCAAGGACCTGTCACTTGTATCCTCATCATATACAGCCTCAACATTCCAAGTAGGAGAGGGCAGTCTGCTTAATGTTCTCACAACACTAATCCTTCTGTGTTTCTGAGCTTCATCAACTGTCTACGTGTTTGTCATTGAACATTAGCGATTTCTTCTCAACATGAGCCTAAGAAAGAAACTTGAGCAGTCAAGGCTGCCTCTGTATTTCATCACTGAATACAAACCCCAATAGTCATGGCTAAAGGTAATACAGTCTTTAAGATGCTGCTCCATCTTTCTTTTTTTGGTGAGGAAGACTCACCCTGAGCTAACATCTATTGCCAATCTTCCTCTTTTTTCGTTTGAGGAAGATTAGCCCTGAGCTCCCGTGCCCATCCTCTTCTATTTCATATGAGGGTTGCCTCCACTGGACCCCCAATGCGGTGTGTGCAGAACTTTAACTGAACTTGGCCACAGGCCCGGCCCCTCCACTTCCTAGTTAAATTCTTGATACTCACTGAAAATGGAAATATAAATAAATATTTATACTTTTCTTTAAAGACTCTAAGTGGGAAAGCACTTTCAAGAATTTTAAATGCAAACATAGATGACTCATTGAGACAGAGAAAAAGTTATAGTTCAATATTACTCTAATAGTTTCTGGGGGAAAAACATGGCCTTTTCCAGGAAAATGTAATCAAATACAGGAAACAAAAAGAGATCACAGATTATTACACACGACAATTAAAAATACAGCGACTTTATTTCCATCTCTTTACAGTCCCCAGCATCACATCTGGTAAGAATTCTCATCTCGACAAACACAAAAATATTTCAAGAAAGCATGTTATAAGATAGTATATATAAGCAACAGTTTGGCAGAATTTTATCACTCTAGTAGTTCATAGCCCCCCCAAAATGAATTTTTAAAATTCCAAAATAACAGTTAGCTTTATTTAACACATTATACCTTAACACTTAAAAATATCATGCTCTAGTTAAATATATCATCAACAACGCTGTATACAAATAAAATATTACACAAAATATATTTAAGAAAATGTTTTGGTCTTTGATCTGAACAATAAATAAACGCACAGGCACTTCTACACCGAGACAGGGAAGCAGTCACTAGTCAGAAGAGTCATTTTGTATAAGCAACATGTGAAAATACGGCAGGAATAGAATCATGGAATTTTAAACTGATAAATCACATGAAAAGGTCTGCAGCTTCACTTGAAGTTCAAAAGTTACCTACGCTTTCCTGGTCCACATTGAAAAATCATAAAACACAGTAAGGTTGCCAGGGTCAGTTCTATCTTCAGTTGGCCATTATGGAATCGTACACATTATTTTCAAATACTAAAAGCAGGAGAACTATTATGATACCACCCAAATCAAATACAAGAACAGTTAAATTTTCTCTTTATTATAACCATAAGGCCATTACAAGATTAAACTGGGTAATGATCACACAGTGATTCTCATTTTGCAAAATTAACAGATTAGACTAACACAAGAAAAAAATAAAATTCCATTTCACAAAAACCACTGAATCACGTATAACAAAGTCTTTGTAGCCAATAGGTTCATAAACACCTAAATTGCAGATAATTCACCCATTATAATGGAAAGTAGGAATATTTTCAAATGAGGGTAAAACAAAAATAACTTAAAATGGTCAAACTTCAGAGACATCATTCCAGATGAGAAGGGAAGCAAATTAGAAAATAATTACCACTGAGCCAGCAGAAAGGATCAGATGCAATCACCCCAGAATATCCTCCACAAAATATCAGGATCTTTTGCTTTCCTTCTTTACAAAGTACCACATTGCAGGGTTTAAAGGCCCTCAAATGGATACTACTTACAAAGGCAATTTTGATGATTTAACATAGACATTACCCCTAATGGGAGAGAATATAACGTGGGAACTATTCAAGATATAGTCTTTCTATGCAAAATTTTGTTTCTATACATTTTAGCAATTTAAATGAGCATTTTGCAACCGAGACCAAATATCAATCATCTCTTGAGGTTTCCTGCTGTGTACTAACATCAAATCTAGATAGGAACAAATGTTATTCTTGTTTTTCTCTTCTATATCAAATGTCCTGAAGCCTTTGTGTTTCTCCGGAAGGAGGCCAAGCTTCTGAAGGCACATTCCAGTATAAACGTCATCAATGGGGTAGAGAAGGACCTGGTCAGTTATACTGTGCAGCCTCAGGGCCAGATGGCCAGAGTAGAGGAACCCGCCTCCGCCCGCATACGGCGGGTAGACACCAGTGTAAACAACTTCTGGGATGTAGTACTTCAGTTTCTTATCCCGATGAGGCCCAGCATTGTGGATCACATCTCCTATAAACAAATCTTTGGCTTTGTTCTTGGATAAGCTATTCAAGTAATTCAGGATGTGATGGGTGTTCACAAACACATCGTCATCGCCCTTAAAGACAAACTCTGCGTTTGGGCAAGAAGTGCTCACCCACCTGAGAAAGAGCACTTCTTTCAGAGACAAGTTGAAGAAAGTGTCTCTGTAGTTCCACATAAGAATGTCTTGGTGCTTCTCACTCTCAAATTTCAGCATATCTGAAAGGTCAGGATGGTTGTCCTCTGGGGGCGTCTGGCCCAGTAAGAAGACTCGCACCACTGTTCGGTTCCCCACGTTGGTTTCTCTGCCCCAGGATTCCCGAATTGCTTGCCTCCTAGCAAAATGTGAAGTGAGCGACTTAATCGCCAGCAATAAGAAGGGTTTCTTTGCACACTTATTTGGCTGATCTATAAGCAGTGAGTAATTTCGACATCTCAAATACAGAAGAAAGTCTTTAAACCTGTCAGGCAAATTGTCAAAGCCTGAAACTACTGATGCGACCCTCAGGTCAGGTTCACAATAATTCAGATGGCTTACATTAGAAAACCCGTATACTTCCCCTGTCTGGTTGGTCAACATGTTCAAAATGGGATTGTATCGCCTGTTCAGCTTTTCCTGTTCTCTGTTCCAATATGCCACAGGAGGTTCAGATATCTTCCAGAACTTTCCTTTGGGTATTATTACTTCCCCCTTTCCATTTTTTTCTTGGTTACTGCTTTTGGAGACTTCGACAATCAAATAAATGAAGACATTTAGCATCATGAGGATACCCAACAACTTTATTCTTCGACGTCCAACAGTCATTTCTCATATCTGGAATAAAAGGGAGGAGCATTGTATTAATTAGATAATTATTAATTTGCATTTGTTCACACATGTTTTCTCTCTCCTGGAATAGTGGTTTAGATCAGATTCTAGATTTGCACTGTTTAGGTTCAAATCATGGCCCTGCCATTCTAGCTCAGTGCCCTTGGGCAAGCTGTAAAACCGCAGTCTCGCCTTCTCCATCTATGAAACGGGGATAGTAACTCACTTCATAGGATGGCTGTGAGGGCTACATGATTTAATTTATAAAGCTTTTAAAACAGTGGCTGGCCCACAGCAAGCAGTATGCAACAGACTGATAACACTGTTTTAGACACCCAAGGGCAGAGATATGCATTGACTAAATAACCTCACAGGTGTTCAATTTCCCTGCTTACAAGGACTTAACCACACTGAGTTCAGAGAGATAAAATGAAAAGACTCATACTAGCTTTATCCTAATAGCCAAAAACTGAGAACAACCTAAATATCACTAACAGAAGAACGCATTACCATATCGTGGTATATTCATATAATGGAACAACTCTCAGCTTAAAAAGAACTGCTGCTACTATCATCAGTAATACTTTGTGAGCGCAAGACCTCAAATTCCATTTAGGTTAGGTGTTCCCCCCGCCCCCCCCCACCCCCCCACCCAAGGAAGATCACAGCCCTGGGCTAACATCTGCTGCCAATCCTCCTCTTTTTGCTGAGGAAGACTAGCCCTGAGCTAACATCCGTGCCCATCTTCCTCTACTTTATATGTGGGACACCTGCCACAGCATGGCTTGATGAGTGGTGCCATGTCCGCACCCGGCATCCGAACCCGCGGACTCTGGGCCTCCGAAGTGAAACGTGCGAACTTAACTGTGCGCCACCAGGCCGGCCCCTAGTTTAGGTTTTGACTGGAGAGAGGCAGAAAGAAACTTTCTAGGATAAAGAAATGTACTACCTATGTCTTGATCTGGATGAGGGTTTCATGGGTGTATACATTTGTCAAAAGTCAAATTGTATACAAAAGATCTCTGCTGTTTATAGCAAAAAGGAAGAGAGAAATGAAAATGACATTTTATTGAAATATCAAAGGCCAACAATAGATTTCAGGCTGTGGGCAACAGAAAAACAAAGAAAGAGTAATGAAATGGTTTGCTGGGGATTTAACTCCAGAATGCTGACACTACTGAGACGGATGACCTGCAGAAGAACAACCATTTAGATAAGCTTGACATTAAAAGATAATCCAAAAAAGTGGAATGGCAATACACTATAAACAATCTCCTATTTTCTTTTAACGATTTTATTTTTCCTTTTTCTCCCAAAGCCCCCCGGTACATAGTTGTGCACTTTTAGTTGTGGCATGTGGGACACCACCCCAGGATGGCCCGATGAGGGGTGCGATGGCCACGCCCAGGATCCGAACTGGCGAAACCCTGGGCTGCCTAAGCAGAGCGAGCGAACCCAACCACTTGGCCAAGGGCTGGCCCAAACAATTTTCTTCTTAGGTTAATTATAACCTGAGAATTTATCCTTAGAAAAGAATCCCAAAGAAGTATTGTGTCCCAGGTGCTGTGCTCTATCTCACTTGATGCAGTGAGCCTATGACCTATGTACTGCTGTATTTATTCCCATTTCTACCTGAGGAAACAGATTTAAAGAAGCAACTGTATTAAGGGCAGAACTGGAATCCCAGCTAAGGCAATGGGGTTCCAAGGCCACCATGTCAAATGGTAGCTGCTCTTCTCTGACCTTTAGAAGAAAGTCGTGTGACTATTTTAATCAAGGGTAGTATTTACTTTTTTTAAATATAAGAGGATTTTTAATTTTACTGAGTTCTAACAAACTGTCCCAAGGTAGAAGAAGTATTTGTCATACTGAGAATGCTGTGAAGTTATTATATGTTGGACAGCCCCGTTTGATCATTGGGAATTCACAAGCTATTTTATGTCTCTTAAAATCTGTCAAGTAGATCCTAACCTAGTTGCTTGTATTTACCAATGCTAAATAGCTTTGGTTACGGACATATAGGTAAAAGGTGCTTTCAAAAAAACCAGCTCCTACCCCACGCTCCCGCTCCCCAAAGCTTTTGCACATCTAGAGAACATGGCGGATGACAAAGTTCTGTGGGCACCTCAGCTCACCCAAGTAAGCAGCCTCCCATTGCCAACTCATTTCTGCCCTCACTTCTCAAGCAATACCCACCTCCACCTCCCAAGAATCCCACCACCGAGCTACCAACAAAGGGCCTTAAACTTCCTCCAAAGAAGGTAGTAAAAAAACACAAGACATTTCTTACACCTTTATTACCGTTTTAAAGGGCCCCAAGTCACACACAACCTGAATAATTCAAAACGTCCACACCTAAGTCTAGGATCCACACCCTCCTTAGGCCAGCTCCTCTCAAACAAACTTTTGGGCAAACCTTACAAGCAAACTCCAGGTCTGAGTCCAGCACATCTTTGGCAACCTAAACCTCTTTGCTATGGCCTTACTCGCAAGGGCCTGAGAGCTCAAATGGACAATTAGAATGCATTTGCACGGGTATCTGATATAGTTAATCATCTTTTTAGAAAAAAAATCATAGTTTTAACCTTTTTTTTTTTTTGGCTTCCAGATTTGAGACAAAACACTGTTCAAACACAAGCAGTTCTCTCTAAACTGGGATAATTTGCCTAAAGCTAAAATAGCACTTGAGCCAGCATCTCTGATCGCTAAGTCTTGGGCCCTTCATGTGAACAGGCTGAAAGAAGGGCAACAAGGAAAAGTGTGAGGGTAAATGGAGAAAGATTACGACGAGGAAAAAGATTCGGAAGGGTGGTCAGGAAAAAGCAGCACACGCTCGGAACAGCTAATGACTTGGCAGAAATTTTCAACTCAGGAAAGGAATACAGGTATCAGTAGACTATTCTTGGCCAGGGATATCTGGAGGCCAGCGAGAAGCATCTGAAGTGACGGTCTGACGCTTCTATCACGAAAGCACCAATCTTCCTTTTGGGGATACTGTGAGGAATACATTAGGCTTGCCGACCCCGGCCAAGATTTTCAACTTCATCCACTGCAATTCAGGCTTTTATTTCCATGATCAAGACCTCCCATCAAGCTTGGCCAATACAGGGCTTAGTGGCTCTCAAAGGAACACCATCCTCACCCTGTGTTTGCTCCAGGATTCCACTCTGCAGAGCGTTTTCCTGCCTGTTTCTCATTTGCACTCCCTGAGGGAAGCTGAGAGGACAGCACCTTTACCAGTGAGAAGTGGACGCTCAGAGAAGGTTAACTGAGCTGCTTAAATGCGACATAAGAGTTAAGTGACAAGGCTGAGATGACAGCCTTCTGGCTCCCAATCTAGGGCTCTTTGGATCCCCTTTTCTACAAGGCATGGCCACATTCTTGTAACCTGGTCCAGTCTGAAGGGCTGGCTCAAGACTGACAAGACCCAAGGCATGGGGTCATGATGGCACATCTGATCGTCCCCAAGACTCTCCAAAGAAAGGAAAACGGGAGCACCTAGAAGCTCCCAGACCCCCTTGTAAGAAGGGGCCAGCCTTCCTTGTCCAAATTCCCAAACACATAGCTTGGGCTAACTCTTACCACTAAAGGGCATTTCTTCCAAACCAACCTGAGAAGGACCGGTGGGGAAACCAAGCTTCTCAATTATACATTGCCATCGAATTTAAAAGTCATCTTTCATTTGTGACCTTGCATAGTCCCTTGCATGAGAACTCTGCTTTTGGCCGACTCTTATAACAAACGGGAAGTTCATGGAAAGGAGGATAAAACAGTGACTACCATAAAAATATTTGTGGGAAGAAGTCCTCTGACTATCTGACTAAATATTCCCATTACAGACATAAAACCAATTCCATGTCCTTTCTTGAGCAGGAAGTTATATTGCTTAAAAAGAATTTGAGTAAGAAAACTTATCCCAAAGCTGGGGCAGAAGCTATACAGCCCTCGCTGGGAAACCCAGAATTCTCACTGTGAGTAAGAGAAATGGGGAGAACTCTCCTATGCAGACAGAAGCACCTTGCTTTCTACCTTGCACTCGGGAACAGTCTCCCCAACGGACTGAACGGTTTTCGAAAAACAACTTCCTTCATTTTGCAATATTTAGATACATGAAAGGCAGAGGCATGAAAAATATATTTGTTAGCTGAAAATGGATTACGAAATAGTACAGATGCTATGCTTAAACTATGTGAAAATCCAGATGAAACACCACCCTGAAACAAAACTGGTTTAATCAGGGTGCTAGGATTACAGGCTATTTTAATATTTTTTAATGCTGCCACACCATCTCTCCCCTCGGACAGCCTCGAACGCACACATCTGCCCGGGATGGGGACGGGGAGCACACGCACAAAATCCCTGACGCTGGGTTCCCATTTCTGCAGCCCACATCCTAGCCTGTGTCATGGCCTCACTTCCACACTCCATCACTGTTCTGGAGCCCACAGTGTTCAGCCTAGGCTCCAACTCAACACCCATCCCCAGATGGCCTGCACACCTTTCCTTGGGCTGGCGCTGAAGCCATCTACCAGAAATGACTCCTAAAATTAATAGTAAAACATGAACATATCTGCTTTATTTTAATAATTACTTAGGTACCCCTTGGGCATCAGCAATCCTAGGAGGCAGATACTCAGAGAGGTGATTTAACTTGCCCAAGGTCACATAGCTGGTAAAAGGCAGAGAGAGCCAGGATTCAGACCCACGAGTTCACCTCCAGAGTCTGAGTTTTAAACCATGATGCAAGTGAATGCTGCCGCTCGGGTTATGACCAAAGGAACTAAATAAGGGACATCAGTCTTATTTTCAATGCTTAATTAATCTTCTTAAAAAAACCATTAAGTACTTCAAAGCTTCATGTTTATATATTTTAACCCATAAACTACCGTGAAGCAAAGTCAGATACGGGAGGCAGGGTGCTATCAGCAGTACCGTTTACTGAATGATTACTCTAGAGGCCAAAGTCTGGGCAAAACACCTCACACAGCTCATTTCATCCCCCAGTG